AACAAAGCCTAGCTCTTGTCCTTAATATTTCTCTTTGGATTCTGACTTTCTGGAGTAAACCTTTGTTTTAATTACGTTAGACCAGGGAATCTCACAGCTTTGTACCTTGGGCAGTTATTAATGGCAGTGATAGATAAATATTCAGAGGAGAGGGCTGGGGATTTAGCTCAGTGGTTTCTCCACCTGCTGTGCAAGCGCAAGGACCCGAGTTCGATCCCTGGTACCAAAAAAAATTCAGAGGAGAGCAATCAGAATTTTATCTGTATTTTGGTTTTTGTTCATGTACTTCTGCATGTAAATATGAGAAAAATGCCTGTTTTCGTAAGTGTAGCTCTTATTTAGGCTTTTAGTAGAGCCAGAGTATAAGGCCTTGGAATTTTAAATTTTTCTTAAAGAGTGTATTATTCAGTGGTATTTCATACTAATTGTCACTCCTTTCTCTTTTCATCATTTGGGATATTCTTAACTAGCTATTTGACATCCTAGTTAGGTACTTTTTTAATCTCACAGCTGATTATGTCTTTTAGTTCTTCCAATCTTGGGGCATATGATTGACTATTATAAACCATTGTTTCTTATATTTATGTTATTCATATGCAATCTTCATAAATTTGATTATAACTGTTTCATTCCACATACTTTTGTCATGTTAGTCATGTTTTATTTCTCAGAACTTTCATTTAAGTCTTTTTTTTTTGAGGCAGGGTCTTGCTTTGTAATTCAGGCTGGCCTTGAACTTGTGCCAGTCTTCCTGCCTCAGCCTCCTGAGTACTGGGATTATAGGCATGTGACACTGTGCCTGGCTTTAAGTCATTTTTAACACAAATTTATTTGAAAAATATTCTGTTGCCATTGTAGAAGGAAAACTGGTTTGACTTGCTACAAATTACATACAATTTGATAGTCCCTTATCTCAAACCCTATCATTTCAGAATTCAGATTCTTTGGATGTAAAAAATAATGTGTGTGTGTGTCTGTGTGTGTGTAAGATGCACTATGTATCACATTCCTCGTGGTAGCTGAGGTACAGTTCCCTGATCAGATACACAAATGATTTTTCTCCAGTGAGCAGCTAACTGCATATCAAGTGGAACAAAACTATAACTAGAATGTGTTAGGGTAGGTTAGGTTTATTGCCAGATGATTTCAGCCCAAGTAAGCTTTTGTCACCAAAGCAGTTACACAGGTATTTTTGGTGTCAGAAATTTTTGGATATCACAATTGAGGATTAAAACAGTTAAAGTAAGAAAGTGAATAATTTTAAATTCTAGCTATATACTGTTGTTTCCTGAACTTGAGGCCTCCTAATCCTTTGTTGTAAAAGAATAGTGAGGGTTAGAGAGCTGTTAAGCTGTTAAGCTCAAACAGAGGCTTGCTTTCTTTTTTTTTTTGGTACCGGGGATCAAACTTGGGACCTTGTGCTTGTGAGGCAGGCGACAGCACCACTGAGTTAAATCCCCGGTCCAAGGCTTTCTTTCTTGATTTAGAGTCCATTGGAACTCATTTATTTTTTTATTTCTTTTTTTGACCAGTTCTACGTTTTGGTATTTTAAAGCCAAGTGAGAGCCAGCTGTGGTGGTATACACCTGTAATCCCAGCACTGGGAAGATGGGTCAGAAAGATCCCAAGTTTGAATCCAGCCTGGGCAGTTCAGCAATTTAGCAAGACCTTGTCTCAAAAAAAAAAAAAAAGGGCTGGGAATGTAGCTCAGTGCATAGGCCTTGGCATCAGTTGATTGCGTGAACTGGACAGCATGGTTCTAGACCAGAGATGGTGAACTTTTTAGAGACAAGGGCCCAAACTGCAACCCAGAACCCACTTACTTAATGCAAAGGGCCAACACTACAATTAAACCTGAATATTGAGGTTTTAGTTTAGAAGAAACAACTCATACATTAATAAGACATTTGTCTTAAAAATATCACGTGTGTCAGGTTTGCCACCACTGCTCTAGATTTTAATGATTGTAAAATTTATTGCCTTACATTTTCAGACTGTGAGTCTAACTTGAATTACAGTATCTGTTTTTGCTGAGAGTTCACATGGGAGTATTCCTTATATGTTATGATATTTGTGCACCAAAATTTATATGGTTTATAAGGGGGTAAGTGCTGGAGGTAGGAGACAATGTTGAAATGAAAAAAGTCACTAGATTGATCATTTGATTTTTTTTGTTTTTGTTTTTTGAGACATGGTGTCACTATGTAGCTCAGCCTAGTCTCGAACTCACTATGTAGCCCAGACTACTCTTGAACTTGTGGTAATCCTCCTGCTTTAGCCTCCGAAATGCTGGGATTATAGGCATGTACCACCATGGTTGGCTTTGAATTTGTATTTATAAACCTAAGAATGAAAATATTTTGAAATTATAATGTAGAGGAAATGGCTATTCTTTTTTTTTTTGGTACTGGGGATCGAACTCGGGACCTTGTGCTTTCGAGGCAGGCAGTGGGACTACTGAGCTAAATCCCTGGCCCAGAAATGGCTGTTCTTTCCTCAACAAAATTTGGAACTGTCCAAAGTTTTAAAAAATACTGCATTTTGAGGTGTAATTGCAAATAACCAAAAGTATTGCGTTAGAACCTTTTAGTATTGATAAAACAGATAGGCAGCGATTGGTAGTCACATTCAGAGGGACATTGGTCATTTCAGGTGTGTATATCTTCAAAACCTGAACAGGAGCTAGGGATTTAGCTCAGTGGTTCCGCTGCCTGCCTTGAAAGTGCAAGGTCCCAAGTTCAGTCCCTGGTACCAAAAACAAAACAAAACCTGAACAATAGAGATTGAGAATTTGAGTTTGCTGTGTTTATATTCTTATTTAATTAAATTTCTATAAACTTATTTTATATTATCTTGTCATTCTTATGTAAATGTTTTGTAAATAACTTTGTGTGTGGTACAAGGGATCAAATCCAATGGTAAAATAACTAGGCTGTAAACATTTAAGAAGGTACATTGGAGCCAAGTGTGGTGGCACAGACCTGTTATCCCATCATTCTTGGAGGCTGAGGCAGGAGGATTGCAAGTTCAAGCCCTACTTGGGCAGTTTAGCAATTTAGCAAGACCCTGTCTCAGAAATATAAAAAGGGTCAGGGTTGTAGCTCAGTGCAAAGATCTTAGGTTCAATCCTCAGTACCAGAAGGAAAAAAAAGGTACATTGGACAAAGTCGGTAAATGATGACTTTTTCATGGTATGCTGAGAGTTAACCAGAAGGCATACAAGAAAATAACTTTTCCATTATGATTCAGTGTTATTTAATATTGCCTAAGTATTTTACTGTATACTACCTCCCATTCTGCCTAAAATTATCTCAAGTATGTCTTAGTATTGGGAAACTCTCTTACAAGTAATTGCTGTGAAAGAACAAATGATTAGACTTGAAGGTCACATGACATAATGAACACATCCATCAAATATTATTCCTTCCCAAAAAACTCTACTGAACTTCAGTGAAAAGACTATTAAAATACATAAATCTGTAAATAGGAGAAGGACCAACAGCAGCAACATTTTTGAAGCTGGAGAGCAGATGGTTGAGATGACTCATTTAGCAGATCCCAGAGGCAAATCCCAAGTTGGAGATGGGAAAAGCCCTGGGTACCTCTGGAACTAAGGGTGAAGGGTCAGGGACCAAAATAACTTTTGGGTGAGAGGTTTGAAAAACAGGTCCCTAGATCCTGTGCTGCTAATCGCTCCTCCTGCACTCCAGCTTTATCTTCCTGTGGACTGGGCTGTGTGAGCTGTTCCACGCGGTAGGAATGAGTTCTCCCTCCAGCAGGATGCCAGGAGGCCCTTCTCTGGGAACTCTGACCAGCCCAAGAAAAAAAGATCTGAAGTGAACATGTTAGGAGTTCACCCTGACAAGGCCATACAGGACACCTACAATGAAGCCTGTTGTCAATCCCCAGCCGTGTGCTCAGAGCTGTTGGAGATCCTTCTTGCAGTGATGAGCAGGGTCACTAGATTCCTGAGGAAAGTCTTTAACACAGAAGTTGGAGACCAAAGGAAACAAAAGGAAACAAACAGCTTGAAAGAAACGGTAGAAAACAAAAAAGCTATCATCAAAATTCTTAGAAATAGCAGCATATTCAGATGCTAAAATAAAAACACTCATGATGTAAAAGAGCTCTTGAAATTATAAACATCGTGGCAGAAATCATTTTAACTATTTTTGTTTTTAGTTTTGTGCTGATTATATCCATAACTGTAAATAATATGCTTGTACTGTTTTTTTCTTGTGGCTTTAGATATTACCTTGCCAAAATAGACTAACACTTATACTTTACTTTTACTTCTCCCTTTAGTGTAGCTATTTCATTTAAAAATTAACATTGCCTGAGGCCTTTAAGGGGTGTTTTTAATTCTTTGTTTTCTTTTTTTTTTTTTTTGGTACTGGGGATTGAACTTAATTCTTTTTTTTTTTTTTTTGGGACCGGGGATCGAACTCTGATCCTTGCACTTGCACAGCAGGCAGCGAAACCACTGAACTAAATCCTCGGCCCGAATTTAATTCTTTATTTCTATGAATACAACTATAAATAGAATCAGTTTCACTTGTGAATTTTCACTTTGGCCCCATTTACTCTTGCCCATAGATGCCTTATCATCTAGAATTAAAAAGAAAGATAGTTTAGTAAATAACTTTATGTAAAGTTTAATTTTTTTTTTTTGCCGAGAGCCATAATAAAGACTTTGCTGCCTGTTACCCATATAAGAACAGTAGGGTACTAGGGTTTTACTTCCAAGCTTTGCATTTTCAAGGCTGTTGGGTTACAGCAGTTGTTTAAAGCACAGGTCTGGACTTTTGCTCTTAACTGCTAAAGTAGCTGAGACTCTCCAGTGTTTGGTTTTTTGTGACTGATTCACTGTAAGAGCACATGTTTACGTATATGTGTATATCTGTCTGGGTCTATGTATTTAAAATAAAATACTACTTATTGGGCCAAGTTGGCTTTCTCAATAATTTGAACTAATGTATTTTCCTTCTTTCTTGATCTAGGCAGTTGACAAGTACTTTAAGCTTCCTCACGCTTCCAGCAAACCTCCCCGGATATCAGGAAGCCTTGTGGACACTTCCTATAAGACGTTACGATTTGCATTCAGAGCATCACTGAAAACTGCCATCTATCGAATAACTACTACATTTGGTGAACATCTGAAGTAAGTTTACATGTTTTGATCTATAATAATCGTCCACTTTTAAGGAATTCCTCTGAGAAATAGAATTATTAAAGCCCAAATGTTGCAAGTGTTCTGGCATTTTGATGATTCCCACTGTGAATTAACAGCTTGGATTTAGATTTACTATTTACTGTTTAAAATTTGGCCTGTTGGATATTTCTTTCAAATGGACAAAAGAAGATATAAAGTGTTTTTTGTTCTTTTTTTTTTTTTTAAGGTAAGTTACAAAAGCAGTAAATGTAATTACCTATATATTTTTATTAAATTACCAAAAGATCCACAAGGGACAAAAAGGGCAAAAAACCAAGTAACTATCTAGAAAAGCTTATTTAAAATCATTCATTTTATTGTTAAATTTTGCTCAGAAAGCTAAGGCCAGGGTGAACAGAGGATTCCGTAAATGAGTTCATGGTGTTTGTGAATTGTGCTGGAAAAACACCGACAGATCCCAACACCTTCAGAAACAGAATCAGAGAGAAAAACCACATGTGCCAAACCTGTCTATATTTAGTTTCATTTATGGTCACTGCTTTGGTTTCATGAAACGATCTGGGCAGACAGGATGAGAGGTGCCAGTTTATTAACTACACTGTGTTTATCATAGTTATAAATGAGCTATGGAACACAGAGATGACTCTGCTGTTCTTGTATGCAATCAATAAATAGTTTAGGTCTTCCTCATACCAGCTGCTTTTGGAAGCAAAAAGTATATTTCTATTTCCCTAACACAAGGCAGTAGCAGTAGCAAGTATTTATTGGGCACTTTGGTTCTGTATGGGAATATGGAAGACTATAGATAATCCTCTGCCATTAAGTCATTCAGAATACACTCATTAATGAATTTAAAGAGTGAAATAAACATTGATGATAGAGCAAAAGCAGGAAGAAAAGGGGGGAATGAGGATTTATTAGAAGGAGATGGATGACTGATCAAAATTGTGAGGATAAAATTATGCCTTGGTGTCTTTTCTCCAAGAAGAGCCATTTTTTTTGTACCAGGAATCGAACTCGGGAGCTTGCACTTGCGAGGCAGGCACTGGAACCACTCAGCTAAATCCCCAGCCCAAGAAGAGCCATTTTTATATATGCACTCAGACTGATGAAAAGAGTCTGTTTTATACATTCTGTAGGGTAGAATGGCATGATAGAAAGGCTATTAATTAGATGTGGAGTTAGAACATTCTGGGTTTGTCTGATTACATCATTGACTCTCTGTGATTGTGGGTCAGTTACTTAATGGTTAAGTCGACCCAAGATTATATAGGTAGTAAATCGTAGAACCAGAATTCAGCCCCAAATCTTTTTAACCCCAGAGTTACTTCTACAATATCTATACTCTTAACTGTTAGACTGTGTTGTCTCCCAAAGGTCTGAACCTTTCTGACTGTTTATGCTCACATTCTGCTTCATTTGGTGTTGATAGAGATTAAATGGAATCATATATATGTAGAGTCCATTGTTAATTATATATAGTGCAACAACTATAATTACTTTATAGTACCTAATTATTCACTACCTGAAAGCTCTAACTCTCAGAACCAGGTATACATGAAGTAAATTTTTTTTGAGACAGGGTCTCACTGTGTAATTCAGGCTGGCCTTGAACTCACTATGTAACCCAGGGTGTCCTCAAACTTGCAGAGATCCTCCTGCCTCCGCCTCCCAAGTGCTGGCATGTGCCGCCATGCCTGGCCTGTGAAGTAAATTTTTGAGCCCTGAAAATTAACCAAGACCAGTTACTCATTGAATACATTCATTCACACCTGCTTTTTTTTTGTACTGAGGATGGAACATATGCTGAGCAAGTACTCTACCACTGAACTACATCTTCAGCTGTTTTGCTTGGTTTTAGACAGGATCTTGTTATATAGTCCAGGTTAGCCATGGACTCTCTTGTGATCCTCCTGCCTTGGCCTCCCAAGTGCTGAGATTATAGGAGTTTCATCACCATGCCTGGCTTCCCCACCCCTTTTTATTTTTTATTTTATTTTTTGGTTTTTTGAGACAGGATCTCCCTTTGTAGTTCACGCTGGCACTGAACTCATTATGTAGCCCAGGCTGGCGTCTAACTTACAGTGATCCTCCTGCCTCAGCCTCCCGAGTGCTAGGATTACAGGCATGTGGCATGCCCTTTTTTTTTTCTTTGGTACCAGGGATCGAACTTGGGACCTTGTGCTTGCGAAGCAGGTGGCGGAACCACTGAGCTAAATCCCTGGCCCGCCATGCCCTTTTAAAATTTTATCTTGACAAAAACTTACTAAGTTGCCCAAGCTGACCTAAAACTTACATTCCTCCTGCCTCAGCCTCACGAATAACTAGAATTATAGGCATGTGCCACCATGACTGGCTTTTTTCTTTGCTTTTTTTTTTTTTAAAGTAATAAGTTTTATTGGATGTATTTGAGGTTTACAACATGCCATAGTATACATATTAGATAATAAATTGGTTACTGAAGTGAAGCAAATTAGTAGTCTATCATCTCACATTTTTATGTTTGACAAGAATAGCTACACTCTACTTAATTGACAAAAATTCTTAATATGGTTTTATTAACGATAGTTTTCATGTTATACCTTAGATCAGAAGACTTACTTGTTTATGTTACATATTTGTTGCTTTGTATCTTTTGACCTGTATCTTCCCACTACCCCATTTTACTCTTTAAGTAAATTTTATATACGTCCAGCCTATAACATATCAAAATATATGTGAAGGACAGAGTTTGCTGTTGGTAAAGGATGGTTCACTGCCTGCTTTAGAGGAAAGTCTTTATGTATGAAGGCATTTTAGGGTGATATGTAGCAAAATTATTAATAGTATAATAGTAATGATATATTACTATTCATGGACTGGAAAACCAGAATCTTTGATTGTATTCAATTTTTGTCCAAAAGTTTAAGAGGAAAGTTTTATACTAGTTTCAGTGCCCTGATTTTGTCTAGGTAGTGTATTTTTGTAGTGATGAGGGTGGAGAGGGAATTCTGTCTCCATCTAAAGCATAATTTTATGTTCAAAGGGAAAAGTAAATCTAAACCACTAAGCTGTTACCTTTGAAAGAAATTAATGGAGTCTATTGTGTTTTAACCAAACATTTTAGTTTAAAGGATTTTATATTAAAGGCAATTCAAATACACCACAACTCAAAGATAATGTTGGAATCTGTTTTAAATAAAATAATAAAATCCAGAAAATCTACTGCAAGGCCTGGAACTCTGCACAGCAGGTTCCACAGCAGAGCAGGTTAAAATCGATGCCTTCCCTTGTCAGTCTCAATTTGCTTTGGTTTTAGAAGGTAGAAGCACGCTGCTACCCCGTGCAAGCCTCTTCTTCATTAGATTAAAAAAAGTTTTCATCCACCTCTTTCAGAAGTACTAAATAAGTGAATATTTCTATTCGTTTTTAATTGTTTTGAAAAATATTGACTCTGTGCTCTGTGGTTCACTTAATATGCTTAATGTAAAATAAGCTTATGCTTTGAATTTATGTTTCATTTAGTGCTGTGCAAGCATCTGCAGAACATCAGAAAAGACTTCAGCAGTTCTTGGAGTTCAAAGAATAGTTCAGTAATATAAACTGTGTTCATTACATTGCTGATACAACTACAGACAGCACAGTAAATGTTCACCATTCTTGGATCAGAAGAAAATGGACTAATTAGATGCTTCCTTTGTCGTGGTGGTTGCTTTGAAAACTATACTTTAATGGGAGAAATCATGGAAAGAAATTCTCAACAGAACAACCGAAAACTGCCTTTTCTGTACTGATCACTTTTTGTGTGTGTGGTATAATAAAATCTTCATTCAATTTTATAAGAGCATTGAGGGCAGTAGAAACATCTCTAGCTCATATAACAATAGTAATAACTCAAAATTTTGTAAAATTTACTTTTGCAAAGAGTGGAGCCACTTGAAAAATTAAAATAGGTTGACTTGATCTGGACTTTCTAATCATTCTAAGAGGCCAGCTCCCTGTAAACTTGAAATGCATAAAGTTTTAAAACATAGTTTCTTTACTGAAGGATAAAAATGGTAATAATGGAGCAAAATTCACAGAAAAAATACTTTCTAAAGGACATGTTTTGTTAATCTGTTAGGTTGTGTTTTTGTTTTTAGGGATAAATTTAATTTGCATGATTGTCCAAAACAAGTCTCAATTTACAGATGCTAACTCTATATAAAGGAATGTGGAAAAATTCAGTTCTTAAGTTAAAAGATTAAACATTCACATTTGGCTTTTGAGAAACGGTTAACCAACGTGATGAATTTATTTTGTATCATGTTAGTAAGCAATAAGTGTGTGGGTATTTTTCCCAACTAGTTTTGCTTTCTCTTTCTAGAACAAAACATTAAGGGATTGTAGAGGTTTTCAAGTGAGAGAAGAGGTTTTGGAAGAAAAAGTGGGAAGCTTCTCCTTTTTTCCCTACTGTTCATCTTCATTAGATCAAATTATTTTACGTAGCTTGTCTGGCATCACAGAGAGCAGCTTCTGCCTTTGTTAACCAGCTAATTAAAATATAATAGGAAAATCTTTAAAGCTGGAAGCAACTTAGTCATCAAATACCAAGCGGAACTGAAATGTCAGAGGGATTACTGTTCTGGGAAGTATGTTGTGTGTCCCGAATGTGAGTAGAGGTCATTTGCTAATTTGGTTGATAGACTTCTTCAAGTCCTGGTGGTAGATACTCATTGGCATAGCTTTGAACTAAAATGCTCCTTCATAATTATTTTCCTATTATCTTTTCCCACTAGTGTCGCCCAATTTTTCCTTTAAAATCAGCACAGTATTCTATATAGATCTTTAATGTGGTATGTGTCTACCATTTGTCTGTTCCATTGATGTATTATATCTTTACACTAGAATTCTTTAGCCCCCGGGCCAACTGCCCATTCAGCCAGCACATGCCAAGTAATAAATGAATCCTGCTGGCCTGTAAAGTGTCTTTATGAGACAGTGCCCCAGTTGTCATGTGTTTGGGTATTTAACTGTTGCTACTTTCCTCCCCCTCACTCTTCCTTCTTTGTGTCTGAACTACCTCCCTTTCTTTGCCTTTCTCTCTTTCTTTCTCATGCTAGGCAAGCACTCCTATCACTGAGCTACATCCCCACCTCCTTTTTTTAAATTTATTTTTAAATTTTTGAGACAGGATCTCACTAAGTTGCTCAGGCTAATCTCAAACTTGTGATCTTTCTCAGCCTCCAGAGTACCTGGGATTACAGGTGTGTGAAGTTGATTTCACTTGATCTTAGCCAAAAGGCTGAGAAGCAGTGTGAAGTTGAATTTCAAATGTAGTATTTTTTTTACAGATGACCAAAAGATTGTGGCTAGGTTAACTGAGAAGTCTTGTATTCCATATATTAAAGCCATAAGCTTTTTTTTTTTGGTACCAGGGATCGAACTCGGGTCCTTGCACTTGCACAGCAGGCGGCAAAACCACTGAGCTAAAGCCCCATCCCACCATAAGCTTTTTGTATTCCCTAGCTGAAGCATTTTGGGAGACAAGTCCTCTTAATCTTTCATTAAAGAAGAATTGTGGTATTTAACCATTGGATTCCTGAGACTGAAGATAGAATGATTCCCTTAAGCTTTGACCTGCTTATGTGAAATGCCTGGTTAGATTTAGGTTCTTGCAATTTCCTCTATACTTTGCACACTGGTATGTTTGGTGAGTAATGTGAGTCTTTCTGAGATGTTCATTGCTGTGTTTCTCTCAGGAGATAGAACTGTGTACGAATACAAGCCACATGATATCTGCCCATTGAATACTGGGAAACTGCCTTGCAGGTCTGTATTGTATAGAGTAGGTGAGGAGGTCAGTTCTCTTCCCCTGCTGTGTGTTGATGATATATGTGCCAGCTGTTGTGCCAAGGGTGTTATTAAAAGGAGCTCCTCCTGCGCACAAGGAGGACCTGAGGGAAGCCAGGAGGAGAGACGTGTTTCCTTTGATGAAATCACATTCTGCCTATGAGCCCTGATCTGTGACACTGGGTTGAAAATTAGAGTGTATGTGAAACCTTTCCCTGCTTTCAGTACAAAACATGATGGTATCTGCTCTTACAATGTGTACTTGACCTTCGTTGAAGGCATAAAGCTTCAAAACTTCTTTCCTCAAGAATTGGGAAACTATCCTGGAATAAATCTTGTACAGTTGAGCAGGAATAGATGAGCAGCAGTTCATTCCTTTGCTGGATTTCTTCCATGGCAGTTGTTTTCTGTGCCTTCCTATAAATATTTATGACACTTTATATCCTTTTGTATATCACTGGTACTGAGTTGAGTAAAAAAAAATAAATTGACAATTTAAAAAAAAATGGGACAATGAACTAAAATGTGTATGTCTACAGGTTCAATTATTAATTTCCTGTGTGTGCTTCCTTAAACCATCGCAATTTAGTCTTGAGTTGTTGCTTTTAAAACCTGAAAAGGGTTAACTCTTGAGCAATGAGCTTTTGCCCTTGGCCAGACTATTTGGTGGGTGATCTGTGTTTAGTAATAACCCAAAGGTCTCTTTCTTTGTTGTCCTGGCTGTCTTTCTTCCAGAGCTAAAACAAAGAGTGCAGGTGCTGAAAGCCATCTTTTAACAGAGGTTTCTTTTCTTGCCAAAATTGTGTTTGTAAATGGATCATATTTTCCTAGACTAACAGCTATGTCTGTCAACTTTACTTAAATGAAACTGAATTTCACCTCTGGGTAGCAGAGGTAGTAAGGCGCTCTGCTTCCTGTATTACTCTCCCAATCCATAGTTGTCACTCTTTAAAACTGAATAGTTTAAAAACACAGATGGCTTTCATTCACTAGTTAACAATCTGACTATTCTTAGCAAGTTGACCTCCATTTTTAAATAAGCAAATTGTTTATGGTGTTGAGCAGAAAGGGGATAGACATGTGCCTCTGTAGTTTTCATTCATGTTCCTGAGCAGCCTTGGCAGTTGCTGTAGTGATGTACAAGTTGATGTGGGGCTAGCTAATGAAAAACATTTACTGAATGTCTGTTACAGCACACATACTGGAGATGAACTAAACAAGACAGTCCCTGGCCTCAGGTCATTTACAGTCTCACGCAGGGACATTTGGAGCGTGGCACTGCAAGTGTCTGCGTGGCACAGTCACATGGGGTGTTTCTTAGATGTGTGGAGTCTGGGCTCCACTTCAGTGCGCTTTAGGTGTGGGCTGGTTCTGAAGAGATGAGGTTTTTTTTCAGTAACGGGGATGGAACTCAGGACTTTGCACTTGGGAGGCGGGCGGCAGCACCACTGAGCTAAATCCCCAGCCCAGAGATGTAGTTTTTAATCAGATGGCCTGCAGAATCCCATAGTGAGAAGGGTTTATCCTAGACCAGAAGTTCTCAGTCTTCACTATGCCTTAGGATCACTTGGCGAGCTTATTAAATCACAGATCACTGGTCTCACCTCCAGAGCTACTGATTAGTAAGTCTGGGGTGGGACCAAAGAATCTGCATTTCTAATAAGTGTCCATATTACTAGTGCTGCTAGTTAGGAGTCCATACTTTGAGAACGACTGTTGATTTCTCATACGGTATTCTCTCATGTGAGTATCTGAAGAATAAGTGCTATAAAGTAGAATTCTCCCATCTGGCTCATTTATTGAGAAGCTTGAGGAATACAGCTAGATACCAAAGGTAATGAAAGAATGTGGACAAATATGCAGGTATTCATATACTTCCCTTGAAATTACAGCAGTTAAGATGTACACCGCTCTTTCACACCATTATGTTCCCTTTACCTGGGTCTTTTTGGCAAACTTCCATTCTTTAGCCTTCCCACATATTCCCTGATAGATTTTGTTGTGTTTTTTCAATGCTTTGTTACCAAACTGAGTTAAACTATGTACCTGCTTCCCCTTGTAGATTGTGATCATTCCTTCTGGGATTTCAGTCACAGCCTTTTTTTTTTTTTGAGACTTGCTAGGTAGTCCAGGCTGCCCTTGAACTTGTGGCAGTTCTTCTGCCTCAGCCTCAAGTGCTGGGATGACAGGTGTGTGCCACCATACCTGGCTTTCAGTCACAATCTTTAGCAAGCCTTTATCTGCAGTCCTGAAGTTGAGAGCCTTGTTTCATTGATAAGATTGATGTCAGGCCAGGGATTTAGCTCAGTGGTTTCACCGCCTGCTGTGCAAGCGCAAGGACCGGAGTTCGATCCCCGGTACCAAAAAAAAAAAGATTGATGTCAAAATTTATTGGCAGCAAAACCTGACCTGAACTGACGTGACTGTGCTTACATGTTAGTGTAGAGTGTCTTGATTATGAGTTGCTGTTCCAGACCCTAGGGGGATGTCATGTAATATACACGAGTATTTCCTTTTCAAAATCTGAAAAATTCTTTATTCTGAAACACCTGACTTAGAATTTTAAGACAAGGAATTGTAGACCTGTTTTTTTTTTTTTAATTTTTTTTTTTTTGGTATTGGGGATCGAAATTGGGTCCTTTCGCTTGTGAGGCAGGCGGCAGAACCACTGAGCTAAATCCTTGGCCCTGTAGACCTGTTTTTATAAAATGCTGTTTAATTTTTCCATTCATTCTTGGCATTCTCTCATTGCCTGCTACACACCACGCCCTGTGATAGATGCCAGTGGTATAGAGTTGCAGACCTTGTGCTCAGAGTTCATCTTGTGTGTCCTCAGAGTTCATCTTGTGTGAGAGAAGTAAGTGGAGGAGGCAAGTTTTGCTTGCAAAGAAGCCTTTTTGTGCTTATTTACAAAGTTGCTGTGTCTTGCTACTGTTGTCTCATTGTTGATGGAGCAGCTGCTCTGTTTCTAGCCTGCTCTAATCCTTGTTGATCACATTTGTGCTCCCCTCCTTTATGGATCTTTTTCTCACCAAGTATAACATGTCTTTAGATGTCCTGGTGCTAGCTCACTTTGTCACCTACCTTATCTTGCAGTGCCATGTGGTTTCCCCTTGCCCCATGGGCTCATTTTCTCCCTGTACACGTGTATCTTACCAGATACTATTGAGCATGCCTTGCAGATAACCCTGAAACCCAATGGGTTATCACGCTGCAGAGAAACAGTGGAAGATGACTTCAGAATCACAGGTCTTTACACAGGTCTTTGATCCTTTTAGCTCTCAGTCCGTTAGTAACAGTCCTTAGTAATATCTTTTAATATCTCAGCCCATTAGTAATAGTTGACAGATCCCTTCCTAACTGTATCGAGACTCTTAGTTGCAAGGACAGAATCTCAACCTCAAATTAGCACAAGCATACAAAGGAGAGGTGATCTAAAGGCATAGGAAAGTCTTGGTGAGCCCAAGTAGATTGGCTTTTAAGCCTTATAACGAACCTGGAAAGCTCCCAGGTTCTTTTAAAAGTTCCTGAGCTTTTCATTATCAGTGCTTTAATTTTCTCTCCTTGCCAATGGCTTTCTACCACTAGCTCTTGGGTCTACATGTAATAGAGACTGACTCCATTTTTTTTTTTTTTTTGGTACCAAAGATTGAACTCGGGACCTTGCACTTACGAGGTAGGCGGTGGAACCACTGAGCTAAATCCCCGGCCTTGTGACTCTGTGTTTTTCAATGCCAGCCAAGTTCCTGATTCAAAAATGAACTCTAATGCACCAGGTATCCAAGGGTCTAGTTAGGCTTGAGGGACGAGGTCATGCAGTGCCAACATAGCTTCTGAGCACCTACCTTTGTGGATGAGAATGACGTGGAGGGTGAGTCTCCCAGTACAGAAAACAAAATTTAGGGTTCAAGGCCTACGAAGGTAAGTCGGTAAATCTTATTCTGGGTTGGGCCCCCACAGTGCTCTACTAGAACTTTTAGAGACAAGTGCTCAGACTGCAACCCAAAATCCACTTATTTATTGCAAAGTGCCAACAATGCAATTAAATCTGAATACTGAGGTTTTTAGTTTAGAAAAAACAACTCATACATTAACGTCTTTTGTCTTTAAAAACAACAAGCATGCCATAGGTTCACCACCACTGTCCTAGAAGAAAGGATGATAAGGAAGATTGTACAAATTATAGTTGAGTTAGATTCCTCATTAAATTGAATTTAGATGATCTCCAGGTCCTAGCAGAAGCTATCATAAATCTAGGGCCCAAACAACACCTTAGGCCTCAATTATATCTACAAACAAGTTCTCAAATACACTGAAACAGTCAAAAATAACCAGCTCCTGAAGGAGAATACAACATGTAACCAACAAAAGCAACAGACAGGGCCCAGGATTTAGCTCAGTGGTGCTGAGCCTGCCTTGCAAGTTCAAGGTCTTGAGTTCGAAATCCTGGTACCACCAAAAAAAAAAACCAAACCAACAGACAATAGGCCATAGAGGTTCCAAATATTAGTTATCAGACAGTAAGATAACTATAATTATTGTGTTCAATAAGATTACAACAAGAGATTTTAATTCATGCATGTACAATTTATAAGTTTATTTCAAAGTGTATATAAAATTTGAAAAAGCACAGGAAATTCTAGACCAGAAAAATAGAAGTCCTGAAATGAATATACTAACCTCAAATTCCATCTCCCAGCATTAATCTTCAAAAATGGTGGGGTTGGCTGGGGATTTAGCTTGGTGCCAACACACCTGCTTTGCAAGTGCAAGGTCCTGAGTTTGATGCTTAGTACCAAGAAACAAACCATGGTGGGGTAAATAAAGACATTTTCAAGCCAACAAAAGCTGAGAGATTCATTAATACTAAGAAAATATATATTTAATTTATAAGGCAGACTTTTTAGGGAGAAGAGAGAAGGATGGTAAAAGAAGGAAGAAACTGGAATAAGAAAATGGTAAATGTGAGTATTAACTTGTAAAACAATGACTTATGGGTTCTTAAATATAGAGAATTAGAGTACACATCATAATGGCAGGTATGTCAGAGTATTTAGGAGTTGAATTTACATTGGGAAGAGTAAAGCACCAATAATAGGTGTTGTCATAGTAAAGATATAAATTGTAATTTAAGGATAATCACTAAAGTAATAGTAAAAGTTCCAAGCTAAGACGGAAAGAATTAGAATAACCAAAAATAATCCTGAAAAAAGAAAAAATAGGGCCAGGGATTTAGCTCAGTGGTTCCGCCACCTGCCTTGCAAGTGCAAGGTCCCGAGTTCGATCCCCAGTACCAAAAAAAAAACAAACAAACAGGAGTGAAATATATATATATATAAATATATATAAACCAGGAGTGAAAAAATATAAAGCAGATAGGACCAATAGAATGCACATAGTAAAACATTTTAAAACGTACATCAGTAATTACATTAAATATAAACAGTCTGTTGATTCCACTAACTGGTATATGTCCAATAGAAAAGAGAGTATATA